GCAAGATGCACAGTTGTTAAAAGTTATGTGCTATGACATAGACATCTTCCATCACTTGAGGCAGCATCTCTTCTAAAAACATTCTAATTGTATAGTCTAGTTTGACCTTAAGATTTCCTTCTAGAATACACATGTATAGGATTGCTCTGTCAGTCAATAACCTTTTACCAAATACAAACACTGTCTGTGTACAAATGGCCTCCCAAAATTCTTGATTCGATTTGGGAGGAGAGAAATTTTGGTAGCATTTCAGCACATTTCACTAAGAAGAAAAATTCTTCAATAGTTTGTGCTAGCAGTAACACCCTGTCTGTCTGTCTGTCTGTCCATCCATTTGTCCATCTGTTTGTTCGTTCATTGCATGATAGCTTTTTACCTGCTGGCTTGCCACTGAAAGCAGCAGCAGCAGCAGCGTAACTGTGTATTAGCAGCCTGGTTACTATTATGCATCCTTCTCTGTCACTGGACAATGTGGAATACTGCCTGCCTGTCACAAAATTAGTGGAGAATATTTAGAGACAATTTTGCAAACAAAATAGTTTCTTATTTCAGAAGATAAGAGACATTACAGTGAGAAAAGAGAAAAGTAAAGATCTTTTCTAAAGAAAACATTTTTTGTAAGTTCTTGATCAGCTTTACTCTAAACATAGTTGTAAAGTCTTTATTGTAGGAGAATGCTTCTGTGGAGGTAATGAGTATGTTTGCACAATTAAAACTAGTGCAGCAGCTTTGCCTACTTCTTGAGAGGTCTGATCTGGCCACACTGACACATGCCTTACTCACATCTTGGCTGGTTTACTGTAACACACTCTATGTGGGGTTGTCTTTGGAAAGTGTTCAGAAATGCCAGCAGGTCCACAATGTCGCAGCCAGATTGTTAGCTGGGGCTGGCTACAGGGAACCAATCTGTTTCCAGACACAATTCAAAGTTCTGCTTTTAACCTATAAGACTCTAAATGGTTTGTGCCCAAGTTATCTCAAGGACTGCACCTCCCTTTATGAGCCTGCCTGGGTATTAAGGTCATCAGAAGAGGCCTTTCTCTCAGTTCCACATTCCTCTTGGGTATATTTGGTGGGGACATGGGAGAGGGCCTTCTCTGTTGCTGCTCCCTGACTCTGGAACTCCCTCCCACAGGAGGCCAGGCTGACCCCATTTTTGCCATCTTTCTACAAGCAGACAACGAGTTTTCTCCTCAGGCAGGCTTAACTTTAAGTGACTGATGGACCATGGTGATTTTAAAACCCATTACTGTAGTCTGTTGTTTTACCTGTGCTTTTGGGATGGTTCCAGTTCCAGCAAGGGGCATCAGCAGCATTTTCTTCTGGTTGCCTCCTCATTCTGTTTTAATTTAGTCCTTTTAACCTTTTGATATAAAGTTTTAGCTTTTAACACCTTCAGTTTGAGATAGCTTTTAAAGTCTTTGAACCAGCCCATTTGGAAGAAAGGGAGGACTATAGATAGAGAAGCCAGAGACTCTATCCTGTGGATATAAATAACCCGGCTCATATCAGTGGCTTCGTTAACTCTGTTTATGCCTATGAAGATAAAGGAACAAATAAATAAAGGAAAATAAATATTTCTGGCCTTTGAAGAAAGGAAAATGATTACCAGAATTAGCTGAAATTCAGTGGAAAAAAGAAAGAGGAGCTACTTCTCCATGAGTAACAGAACAACACAGTCAAACAAAGAGAGCTTTTCTGATAAGCCAGAGAGGTCTTCAACTCTACTGGCCACTATTACTGTATTACTGTTGTTGCTTATTACTGTTCTCCACTTTAAACATTTAAACGTTGAGCACAACAAGAATCTGAACAGAGGAGGAGAGAAAGAAGACTCCTGTTTTTGCTGGATAGTGTTTCCCTATCATGTGAGAGAACTGGCTTTGCACTTTTGCATCATCTTGCTGACAAAGGTCCGCATAGTCAAAGCTATGTTTTTTCCAGTAGCGATGTATGGAAGTGAGCGCTGGACGATAAAGAAGGCTGACCGCTGAAGAATTTATGCTTTCAAATTGTGGTGCTGGAGAAGACTCTTGAGAGTCCCCTGGACTGCAAGGAGAACAAACCTATCCATTCTAAAAGAAATCAAGGTGATCACTGGAAGGACAGATCCTGAAGCTGAGGCTCCAATAATTTGGCCATCTCATGAGAAGAGAAGACTCCCTGGAAAAGACCCTGGTGTTGGGAAAATGTGAAGGCAAGATGAGAAGGGGATGACAGAGATGGTTGGACAGTGTCATCGAAGCTCTCAACAGGAATTTGACCCAACTCCAGGACACAGTGGAAGACAGGAAGGCCTGGCGTGCTCTGGTCCACGGGGTCACGAAGAGTCGGACACGACTTAATGACTAAACAACAACAACAAGGACAGGTGGAGGCAATCAGCCCTCTAAAACATGGCATGCCCAGCAATGTGACCACAGTGTTTCCAAGCCTTCTACTCCCCTTAGGAACTTTAGCACATATAGTGCCAAACATCACGTTAAAGTCTACCCTGAGGCTCCGAGGAAACTGAAGCAAACCAAGATTGACTTTGTTAGTTCTCTGAAGCCCTTAACAAACAACATAGAGAATTCTGTTACTCCTCATGTTGACTTTTGACAAATGGTCAGATACTAGAAAGTAGCCAATCAATAGGTAGCCTGCTAAATAGCACAGTGAATCAAAATTTTGGCAAGTTAAGACTGTCAGATTTTGCATCAGATCTGGTTTTGGGACCTGATGGTCTGACATTGCCAAACAAGTCTGGGACCCTTAGAGAACAGAAGCTGAACTGTATAAATGTTGAGAAACCAGAAACTAAAGTATAAATGTTGAGACACCAGAAACTAAAGACACTACACCAATAACGGGGGAGCATGATTCTTCTCAATCTTGTAAGCTAGTCTCCTTGGACTGTGATAAAGCAACTCCATCAAAGGAACCAGGTAGCTGCAGAATACAGGGCTTTTTTTTTATCAGAAATTAGAGATATATTAAAGTAATTAAATCAATCTGTGACCACTATAGCAGGTCACATGATGGAAAATAAGATGCATCTTGCAAAGAATACAGTAGACCAGTTGATCCAATTCAGGCTGAACATCCACGGTGTGTGTCTGATAAGATGAACTATTATAATCTGTCTCCAAAAACTATTGACAGAATTGACAAGCTTTCACTAGAAGAGTTATTTCTATGTGTAGGTTGTCAGACAGATGTTCAGGGAAATCTTATTGCCACTTCAACACCTACAGCAGACTCTCTAAATCCTTTGTCTGCAACGAACTCTTCAAGTGCAAAGCATCATCCTCCAGGAAAGGATCCCACAAAGATCAGTGGAAAGTCATCTGCCCTACAATCAGCAAAGGCCAAGCCCAAACATGTGAAGATAAAGGATGCTCAGAAACAAACATCCAAAAAAAGTATGAATTTTAAACCCTTATTTAAACTACTCTCATATCAACAACACTATAGGCAACAGTAGTGGCATAGAATTTTTCCAACAGCATAGCTTCTGCCTTGATTCTGAAGATTACCACATGTTTGTTACTGTTTATCAATGTTTATATTCCTGCAACAATCTCATTTGATGACAGATGACTTGTGGGGTAACTTAGAGGACTATATTGATCATTTAATACTATTGTGTCCTGATGCTTCTATAATAGTCGCTGGGGATTGCAATGCCAGGATAGGTACAAATGATGAGAAACTTTCTATACAGTTCAATATGACCTTCCCAGAACCTTTTCTACATGCAAATTCCAATCACAGGTAAATTATAAATTAACATTAGCGACTTCTTACAAACAAAAATTATATAAAATGTTTTATAGATGACACTTTTCACCAGCTAGACTTACAAAAATATTCCCAAACAAGTGATGGAAATTTAAAAATCATGAAGGAAGTTATTACCATGTATGGTGGACTTGTGATAAAGCAAAAAATTATTGGGCTAAAATGCACATGTGGATTAAGCAAATGTCAAAATAGGAAAGAGAATTTAAATTGGAAATATTTTTGTTAGGATTACTACCAAATGCTGTAGATATACAAAGCTACTATTTAATACTATATGTTTTGACAGCAGTTCGGTTATTATGGGCACAGGTTTGGAAAGATGAAAATCCACCAAATGATGATATGATCATTTTAAAAAATTAGAAAGTGCAGAAATAGATAGATTAATTAAGAGGTTAAAGGGACAAGAAGAATAATATTTTTATTTAAGTTGGAATTTATTTTATAATTGGTGGAAATTAAAAAATCCCGCACTAAAGGAACAGAAAATGAATTTAAAAATGGGATGTCATGAATAGGATCTCACCAGAAGAATTATTCAAATATACAAGATTGCTTTTATGCTGAGGCTTAGATTTTTTTTCCTTTTTTATATTTAGATTTTTTTTTTTTATTGTTTGACCTTTAGGGATTCTTACACTTTATGATTATTGTTTAAATGTGTATTGTGCTATATATCTATGTTTTTAAATTGTCTGTTAGAAAATTTCAAAATTAAATTGGAAAAAAGAAAGATATGTATTTCTCTAGCAAACATTATACATAACTTATCTCTGTCTCCCTCTAGTGACCAGTTCTGGTAACATCATCTTTAGAAATAGATATTTCTAGGATTTTTCTTTATTTTTAATATTTTCATACTGAGGATGAGTGAATCAGTGGATACTGATCCTGCAGATATGGGAGTTACAATGTATTGCTCTTTTTTTTTATAAATTTTAACATGATGTCCATTTAATTCCTTTTTAATATTGTAATAATTTATTAATTTAGCTTTTAACTTTGTTTTGTTTAATACTGAAGGCTGCCTCGGATCCTTTAGGAGAAAGGCAGCATATAAATATTTCAAACAAACAAACAAATAAACAAACAAATGCTTACACCTGGATATTTTGAATGGAAAGAGCATAACAAATAAGAGAGAAAGGGGAGACAGAAATAGCATTCCTAACATTTGTGTTTTTATTAAATCACAGGTTGAAGGAACAGTCAAAATGCTGAAGGAAATCCAGGTGTGCCTGTGTATCTTCTTTGTATTTTCATTTGGAGTATTTTATGAACTGTCTCAGGAACATAGTTGCCTCTTCTCCTGCAAACCTGCCTCCAAACAGTTGTTGACACCAAAAGATGTCATGATCCAGGACAGAAGCATCATCTTTCTGGAGACCACTGAAAATCTGCAGCCTCGTCCTCTGGTTTTATGTTCTGTGGAATCTGCTGCTAGAATCTATTCAGAGAGGCCTGTCATTTTCTTTATGAAAGGCTTGGACAATCACACAATGGGGAGTGTGAGTTCTTCATGGTCCTCTCTCTCCTTTTTATCTGCTATGAAGAATGTTTTCCTTTTTCCCCTTCACATGGAAACTTTGTTCCAAGACACTCCTCTACTTTCATGGTATCTTCAGGTAAGAGAGAAAGTGTGCTGGCTTTTCTTTCCCCCACAGATGAGAGAAATGGACAAAATTAGTTACGAAGTTTTTTGGACAAATATTGATTTGAGATTGTGGAATGTTTCTTGCTGCGTCTGTTGTTAGTGGAAAACAACAGATGCTGTTTCCTATCAATTTTTTCCTTACAAAAAAAGCTGACACTTTATTTATACCTACATTTAATGAAAATAGACAGTTTAGTGCAGGTAAAACTTTTACAAGAGGTCTCAAATGCTGCTTCAGATATCCTTTCATATTTATTCGTTTATTTAAAATATATTTACCTCACTTTTCTGCTAAGAAATGACTAAGGCAGCTTACATCATTGAAATACAACGTTAAAGCTAAAAAACAGTGAATGATTCAAATATTAAACAAATTAATAACATTATATTTAAAATGCTAGGTAAAGCATTACTAAACTATAATTAGAAGTAACAGAATGTAAACAATCTCATTTGAAAACCTCTCCTAAAACCTCATTAAGGAAAAAACTGTCTGAAGGAGAAAGGTGAGGTAAAATTATTTTAAGTAATATTTTAAAAACAATTCACCTGCTGGATCTTCATATTGGGACTTGGGTAAATTACTTTTTCCCCCCTATAACTTCCAGAATTTTTCAGCCATTGTAGTCAGTAGCTTTGCTAATTGGGAGATTCTGACCGTTATAGTTGAAAAAAGTAACTTTCTCAAGGTCTGGTTCATACCCAGGACTGGTGATTACCGTGCATAAGAGAATGAATGTGCCATTCAGATTTATTTATTTTTTTTTTGGATCTTCATTCTGGGAATTTCACACCTATAGAAATCTAAATGTGTCATTACAGAGCCTCATGGCACAGTGGTTAAACCGCTGTACTGCAGCCAAAACTGTGCTCACGACCTGGGGTTCAATCCCTGGTAGCCGGCCCAAGGTTAACTCAGCCTTCTATCCTTCTAAGGGTGGTAAAATGAGTACCCAGCTTGCTGGGGGGGGGGGGGCATGTGTAGCCTGCATAATTAACTTGTAAACTGCTCAGAGAGGGCTTGAAGCACTATGGGGCGGTATATAAGCAGCATGCTTTGCTTTTGCTTTTACCTGGAGACATCTACATTGGCTTGGGCATGTTGTGAGAATGGCTGATGGTCAGATTCCAAAAGATCTCCTGTATGGAGAATTAGTGCAGGGAAATCACCCCAGAGGGAGACCACAGCTGCGATACAGGATATCTGCAAGTGGGAACTGAAGGCCTTAGGAATGGACCTCAACAAATGGGAAATCCAAGTGTTCAGCCTGGAGGCAAGCGGTGCATCACGGTCTCTCCCAATTTGAAGAGAATTTTGTCCAGCAGGCCGAGGCAAAGAGGCAGTCACGAAAAATCAGGGAGCTGGACAGGGGACAGATTGTATTTGTCTGCAGTGTGGAAGGGATTGTCACTCTCGCCTTGGCCTTCTCAGCCACACTAGACACTGTTCCAAGTCCTACATACAGAGCACGTTACCATAGTCTCTCGAGAAATAAAAGATTGCCTTTGGTATAAATGGATTAAGAATGGGGTGTGAAGCAACCACAATATTTGGATCAGACCCCCATTCACGCATCCATGAAGTGGCTCAGTTTAGCTTGGCTTGATTTGGAAGCCCCTCTGTTTAAACTCAGGTCCAAACATAGGCCTCTTCTCCTTTCATCAAAATATAATGATGCCTTCACATCCAGCAGCTCTTTAGGTGGAAACTATGTCTGCCACATTGCAAAGAAATGGATGCGTGCAGTTGTCAGTGTGTGCTGTGCAACTTTATATTTTTGTGAAAGAGAGCTGGCAATGATTTCATGACAGAATTGGATGAAATTTTCAAGGATATTTGTCCCCTTTTCAAGAGTAAAACATTTGCATTTCAGAAGAACAGATGTAGAGAGTTTCGGTGAAAAGCACAATTTTAGTTCTGGGGTTTCCAACAAATTGGCTCAGGACCCACACTTGCTCAGGTGTGTTTGTGGAAAGAAGGCTCCAGCCTTTGCTGGCGAGAAATGCCCATGTAGGTGTAGACCTCCTATACTGAGTTGTTTTACAGGCTTTGAGTTCCTTAGCCAAAAATACAAGTGTTGCAAATATTGGAAGGAAGAAATAATGGGATTTCTTTAGTTGCTGGAAGTTGTTTGATTCTGTATCCATTTTTAAACCTACAGGTCAATGCAACACTGGAGAAGGACTGGATCTATATCATATCAGATGCTATCAGGCTTGCAATGGTGTGGAAATATGGTGGAATTTATATGGACACAGATGTAATTTCTATCAGACCCATCCCAGTGAGCAACTTCTTGGCAGCCCAGTCTTCCCAATTTTCCAGCAATGGGATCTTCAGTTTTCAGCAGCATCATTCATTCCTTTGGGATTGCATGGAAGATTTTGTTCGGAACTACGATGGAGCGATCTGGGGAAATCAGGGACCTTTTTTAATAACAAGGGTGCTAAAAAGGCTGTGTGATCTAATTGATTTTAAGGATACAGAGGATCAAAAATGTCACAACATTTCCTTCTTGAACCCCCAGCGTTTCTATCCCATCCATTACAAAAACTGGACAGCATATTATGAGGTATGGGACCCAATACCACAGTTCAATACCTCCTATGCTTTGCATTTGTGGAACTTCATGAACGAGAAAGACAAGAAGAATGTTACCATTGGAAGTAATACACTAGTGGAAAACCTGTTTAGAATGTACTGCCCTACTACTTACAAAAGACTTTCTCAAACTGTGGAAGGAAGTGAATAGATGTCTCAGAATAAACCTGGTTGACTGATTCCAATAAAATCAAATTAGGAGTTTTTACATTTTATAATACTCAATAGAACCTGAGTTACAATTTGGAAACATCTGTCTCCCAAATGAACGCTTGATAGGAAGGAAATCTTTAAAGATGTTACTAATATAAGAAGTGAATAGATTGGTGGTATCCTGAAGATTTCTTATCACACACACACACACACACAGAGAGACAAAATATAAGTTATTTTTAATCCAAACACACAAACACACACACACACAAAATAGAAATTACTTTAAACTCTGTTCAAAGATTAATCTCTCCATACTCTGGGAACCCCTGGCCTTATCCATTATGGTAACATCCACCATTATGGAGGTGGGGGAGCACTGGCTCTTTAATATTTTACAGAGCTTTCTAGGGTACATTTTTGTTATTGAACAATAAAGGCCATTATTGTTAATATTAAGCACTGGCTCTTTAATATTTTACAGAGCTATCTAGGGTACATTTCTGTTATTGAACAATAAAGGCCATTATGTTAATATTATTAATCGTCGTCGTTTAGTAGTGTCCGACTCTTCGTGACCCCATGGACCAGAGCACGCCAGGCCCTCCTATCTTCCACTGCCTCCCAGAGTTGGGTCAAATTCATGTTGGTTGCTTCGCAGACACTGTCCAACCATCTCGTCCTCTGTCGTCCCCTTCTCCTCCTGCCCTCACACTTTCCCAACATCAGTGTCTTTCCAGGGAGTCTTCTTTTCTCATGGGATGGCCAACGTATTGGAGCCTCAGCTTCAGGATCTGTCCTTCCAGTGAGCACTCAGGGTTGATTCCCTTTAGAATGGATAGGTTTGTTCTCCTTGCAATTTCTCAAAATGCCACAGGCAGCGGGAGGATTTTAAAACAACAACTTCTGAATAATGTTATAGACATCATCCAATGAGGGCCCATTACATTTGCACAACCACATCACACAAATCACAATGCAGTGAAACCACTGGCTAGATAATAAGAATTAAATCTGTTATTGTCATTGGACATCAAGTCACTTCTGGCTTATGGCACCCCTATGCATTAGTGACTTACAAAAGGTCCTGTTGTCGATAGCCCAGCTCAGCTCTTGCATCTCTCTGAACCCTTTTCCAGTGGCTCCGTCAGGTTTCAGTGCTTTTTCTCAAGGTGAAGGTATCAAGGCTTGCTACCTTGTCTGTACAAGAATCTCAGAACAATTATAGAGGGTATAGGAAATGCCCTAAAATTAGCCATAAAAGTACAGTACTTTTAAATTTGTGGCATGAAAACATTGTTTACTACAATCCAGTCTAGCAAGTATACCCATTTTTAGCCAATCACCTATTTTGTTTTGCCATCCATACACAAGAGATATGAAAGCAGTAAACACTGACATCTGATGGACAATTAATGTAAATACAGCTATTTAGTGCTTGCTAGCAGGGAAGTGGCATAAGTACTGCTTTTGTTCTGCTTATAAGCAACAATAAGGAGATACACAAAGCCACTGCTAACAGGCAAGAACCATTGCTTAGAGATATTAGAAAATATCTATAACTAGTGATTTCTCACACCACAGAGGACAAAGGACATGTAAGGGTCAAAATAACAGACTGCATATCATAAACAGCATTGGAATGTCAACCATGGATTTTATTTAAAACATTTAACTGTACTCTGGTGATCTTGGTGAGAACAGTATGCAGTGATTCGATGTATGTCTAAACATGTTTAGGGCTAAATAATGCTTTTTTACTTTATATATTTTTTACTTTTGAAGCTGAAATACTTTTTCTTGCCTTACACTGCTTTTTCCTTCTTACCATTTTGTTCTTAAGTACTTTGATGTATTTTAGAGATACATTCTCTATCCTTTCGGGTTACATGCTCTTGTATTTTACAGTGCAACTTAAAAAATTCTTTTTGGTATTTTATTGTGCTTTTGACCTTGTATTTTTTTACTTGAGCATATACTTACAGCTTAGATTCTATTTCATATATTTAAGCAGCTGTACTTATAGCTTTGTTCAAAGAATCCTGTGACTTCTGGATAAGTTACATGTTTTCAAAAATTCTTGAATTTATGAAACATAGATGCAATGCAGATAAATAAAACTTGAGAAATGTTAGAAAGCTTTGAAATCGTTTAGAATTACTGCAACAAAGAAAATACTTGTAGTCAAGATACCCAGATGAATTTTGAAATGCTTGTCAAGGACTGTCTGATTTCATTCTGGTATTAACCCTTTACTGATGTCAGCTATGATGAACCTAGAAAACCTTTATCAGTATAAAATATACCCTTCTGTAATTTGCTCTATACATCTGCTTTTAAGTTGATTTGTAAGGGAAATGTGCAGAGTGCCTCCAAGCAAGGTCTGATAGGGGAAATTCTTGAGAAGGTGCTAGAAGCCAGGATCTGCCCTACTAGGTTCTAGAGTGAAGTTTATGTTATTAAAACACCTAATTATTCTTGCTGCCACAATCCTCCTTCTAAATGAGCTCCATGTGCTCAGAAAATGTTCTTAATGTGTTCTCAGAACCTACATGGTGGTCAAATGGCCAAGCATCAGATTCAGAATCGGAGTTCCTCTAATCTCCAGTCCAAATGTCTTGAAAGTTTATTGAAAAGTTTATTGAAAGTTTACTGAAAAAGAATTTTTTTAATAAGGATAAAAACAAATAAAGGTTAAATTTAACTGGACGCCAGGAAATAATAAAGTTGCAAAATCAAGAAAGTTACAAAAACAAGAAGCAGGCTTTTGGAAATTGGCAAAGAAATACACATTTTTAAAACAATAAAGAACTAACCTGCTATGAAGGCCATGCTTCTCCTTTCCTTTCCCCCTGCACTACCATACTGTTAGCACCCAGGCATGCTATTTTGACTAGCCTAACTCTCTTAAATTCCTTTCCCTGTTGTCTTCTCTTCCCATTCCTAACCTATTACCCTCCCCCCCTTCTACCTTTAATCTCAAAGTTGCCTTGGATACTTTTGTCTGTCAATCCTTTAGACCTGAGGTTTGCCATGGCTCTGCTTTTGATTTGACCCTTAATCCTTTTGATGCCCGGTTCACCTCTGAATAGCTTCCTTCTCATGCAGGTGTGAGGTTTACCATCTGGATGAGCATAGTGGAGCTTCTTCTCATGACTATTTGGGTATTTGCATATCAGGACTATTTGGGTATTTGTATATCCCCTTTCAACAATACTTCCCAGACAAGCTGCTGCCTGCAGGCTCTTCGAAATGCCTGTACTTGGACTTCCCTTTGCTTCCATTTTTTATGTCTGAATGTTACTACTGCCAGTCTTAATAGCTCAAATCACTCTTAGTGATTTATTTCTTCCAAGTGCTTAAAGAGTAGTTTTCACTCCACTTTCTAAAACTGCACATTCTTCATCATATTTTCCCCCCAAAAAATAATATTCTGTCAAATATTTTTACTTTTTTAAATAAATAATGCAATGCACCAGTGGTGGTCTACTATATATAAATCACTTCCTCTACCCCTCTGTCAGGGGGCAGAGAAAGTGTTCAATTTGCCAATATGCAGAAGTGGCTTGCTTACTAAGCCACGTCATGATATCAGAAATTCCAATGGAAGTAGCTTGACAGTCTGAAGGCTGGCATATGGTCCATTTCCAGCAATCTTATATGCCTGAAACTGGCCAGTCTATAGTGATCCTACCCACACCACAAAAATGGAAACCCTTGACAGGGGCTCAAAAAGGTGCAGGTAGGAATACTCCAGGGACAATTTGGTTTGCTCCAGTGATTATGTCATGTGATTGCCAGAAAATGGAGCAAACCAACCTGTTCCCACTGTGGACCAAACAGTGGGCTAAATGCCTGTCTGACTGCACCCTCAGTCCGATGTCCCAGGTTTGAGTATTCTGCCTTGGGTGATCCTGTTAAAAGTTCACACTCATAACAGAATCAAGCCTCCTGATGGCATTGATTTTTTGGTTCCCAGACATACTCAGATGTTGAGGTGTGCCTCCAAGATGGAAATAGTTTTCTAACTATAATAAAATACGTTATGTCTGACACCCAAGATCCTCCAGAGCTTGTGGGCAATTCCTAGATATCTTTTTTTTTTTTTTAAATACGTTATGTCTGACACCCAAGATCCTCCAGAGCTTGTGGCCAATTCCTAGATATCTTTTTTTTTTTTTAAAGCTGACCAAGAAGCATGGATAGGGGAGTGGTTTGTTTTAATATGAATGTACTTAGCTTTGTGCATCTCCAGATTCTGCAGTGTTCTCTTGTCAAAAATAGACATACTAATCTTCATGGTAGTGTTCAAACATGCATTTTATAGGGAAATTTGCTTTTAAAATGTCTATGAGGCAAAAGTTATTGCAAAAGAACATGCATTAGGAGGAATGGACCCAAAAGGCATATATTTTTTCATGCTGATTTAAGAGAAAATTCTTGAATTTGGGAATGAATTAAACCCAAGATTGAAAAATGAGATGCTAAGAGAAACAAAATATAATACATTTCTCAATTTCTATCAGTAGCTGAAAGTTATTGTTCACAAAGACTTCATTTTTGGTCTCTGTGACATAAGTCACTCTTTTTTCCCCACAGTGGGGCTGAGGCATTGGTCTCTCATATGACATTTGTTGCAACACAACACTCCTCTTAACAAACCATGAGTGAAAAAGTGAAAGAGGTAAAAGGCACACCCACATACATCTTCCTTCCTTCCTTCCTTCCTTCCTTCCTCATACACTTTAGGTAAAAACAGAATGAGATTTTAGAAAGAAGGAAGAAAATTGCAAGGAAAGGACCTTGCAGCAGGAGAAATTGACGCTGTAACAACAATTGTCAATGCAGCTAAGAAATTCAGAGCAAACAATGGGGAAGGGTGATGGATTACCAAGAAGCTCGTCCCATGGGTTTATCAGTCCTGCCTTGCCTTAATATACAGAAGAGGTGGATGCTACAAACATGTCATCAAAATTTCCACAAGCTAGGTATTTAGAATGTTGGGACAACAACCTAGAAGTCAATATAGTTTAAAAGTTCATCAACAAGGTCATTCGAGTTCTCAGTAATATCTGAATGGATTATGTCAGCTCTAGAGAAAATGGTTCTACAAGAACAACCTTTGCTATGCACTTACATTCTCTGTAACAGCTGCTAATTTTGTTAAAGTTAGGCCTGTGCTTCCTAAAAATATTTTTGATAGCACTGCAGGTACACACAAACAGATGTTGTTTGCTTATGGTGATATATATCTTTGAGGGGAAATGTTTGCATTCGTGTTTAATAGCTCTGTTGATAACTGTAAACTACAATGTACAACAAGATCAATCAATGTCCCTAAGGCTGAAATCAAATACCCACTAACCTGGGAGTAAACTACTCCATTGAATCCAGTGGGGCTTACTTCTGAGTAAACATGTTTAAGACATGCGTAGTCTCTCTCTCCCTGATCACATGCATGTGGTCACTATTTCTTCACCTTGGAAAATGAACAAGCTGTAGCTGTCCACTGATGAAATCGTTACTGCATGAAGAAAACAATCTGCTAATCTTTGTGATTAAGCAAATAAATTATATTCTCAAAAAAAATTTAAAAGCACAGTTTAGGATCCAATCTCTCATACTTCCTCTTTCCTCCATCCTGCTTTTGTAACATCTTGCCTGTTGAAGGATCTTGATGTCTGTACCTTTCTTGGCCAAATAAAGGTATTATTCTAGTACAGATTTTTGTTTTACAGCCAGTGCAGTTTCCTCTGCATGCACGCAGACAACCACCCACCCACCCAACCTCTTTATTTCAATATCTTAGCCAGCTTTTTAGGACAACATGGCAGCTGAGCTTACTCCTCTGTTACCGCCACCTTCTAATTCCCTTATCTACCTACCTACCTACCTACCTACCTCTTTATTTCAATATCTTAGCCAGGTTTTTAGGACAACATGGCAACTGAGCTTACTCCTCTGTTACAGCCACCTTCTAATTCCCCTGAGCTCCTTTATCACCCTATATCCCTGCCTATAATTTATCTGAAAGATAGTCCAAATGAATGCAGAACTACCGCCAGAGATATGGCTTGTGTCTCTATCTGTTTATATGTTAGCATATAAATCCTCAGTTCCTAAACTCATTCACACACAGCCAGTTGTTAAAATGAATCCTAAACAGTTTCTTTATAAGGCTGTAATAGGAGCATAAGCCATATGGACTTGAAATGTTAATTACAGCTTCCTAAATGATGTTTGTGTAACTGCCCAGACTTCTGAACAGTTTCACTTCATACATGCACACACACCCAGCAACCAGGATTTATGTCTTCTTCCTCGTCCTCCTCCTCTTTTCCATCACTTTTTGTGATGGTTACTTTATTGGTTTGCCTTTTTCAAAAATGAAGTTCTGTGGAGCTCATCTCCCCTCCCCACTCAAACCCAGATTGCACAAGGACCAACTCTAAATTTGAACTTCAGCATCATTTGCCTGTCATTCTATCCTGGTATGTGTGAAGGCTTCTTAGTATATCTACGCTACTCCTCTGTAGCAGTTTGATACCACTGCTACTGTAAGGCTCCATCCTGTACAATCTTGGGGTTTATTGCTGAGTAAGGTACTTTGGAAACTCTGCTGATGCTCAAGAGACTACCCAGAGCTTTCTTAAACCTACTTCACCAAACTATGTTGAAATATGAGAACCATGTGGTCATTACACAATACAAATGCAGGGATAGGTTTATAGACCACTACAGAATCATATAATCTGTTAGCTTTCATGGGTGAAAAAGTACACTTCCTCGGACTCGCAGGGGTGTCTTGTTGTTAGTGCATAGAACTTGGAGTCCCTAAAGTTCATGGCAGATGGATTTTGCCAGGCATTTGTCTTAAGTGTAAATAAAAGATGCTAGCTGCGTTGGAGTTGTGTCTATAAAGTACATATTCCAGCATTCCATTGGCGAGAGCCAAAGCAGTTAAAATAGTAACAACCTGCTAGAAGAGGTAGTCCTGTCAGTCTGTGTAAGCAAAACCTTGCTGCACCTTAAAGACTGTTATATTTCAACGTGAGCTTTCGTGGACCAGTCTGCTTCTTCAGACACATCGGGTAAAATACAGATCTGACCTGCTGTAAGAGTCTAGCACAGACACACATTGGTGGAGGGGCTTGACGTGGGTCCCACACCATCGATAAAGCACAGTTGAAGCACACATGCAAAAAATGACTGCCCTCTTCTGACCTGCTCTCTCAACTACATCCACAGGGAGGCAGCTTTGTTTTCAAACACGGAAAGCCCTAATAGCCCCCTCTGAGCACCAACGTTTTCAAACACTGTGATGGCTTGATCCTTCCTTTTCCAGGTTGAAGCCAACAGTGTTCCTAGAGGAAAGCTAAACAAGCATGGGGAGGGAGGGAGGGAAGGGACGCAATCAGGTGTCGTGTTTTCCTAAGTTACTACAGCAACCGCTTGGCTTGGGGGACGGTGGAGCCGCGGTTTGCATCGCCGGCGGAGAAGCGCCTTCAGGGCACCGCCATCGAGTTGCCGGCATGATTCATCCTGACGTTGCTAAGCGGGGCCGAGAAGGTGATTCGTCGTCGCGCGGATGAACCAGCGCTGGGAGCTTCGGTGGGTGTTGAATTTCCTGGGTGGGAGGAACATTCCGGCTCAAAAGAGGTTTGCCTAAGATCCAGGACACCCTCCGGGGATCCTTTCTCGTCCTTCCGTTTCCCCTCCCTCGCTCTTTCTCAAACACACGTGCGCGTCCGTCCCCTTCCACAACGATGCACTCGGCGGGCAGGTAAGGATTTGCTTCTCTGGAGAGGGAAGAGAATTTTTTTGCTCTGCAGTCGTGTGAAGCTCTACTTCGCAAGAGTTGAGGAGTGGAAAGGGAGGGCAGGAGGAGGAGGAGGAGGGGCTCCCAAGTTCCCTGTTGTTCAAGCCTGCTCTTGGCGTCGCTCTCCTCCTTTCCAATTTCCGCTGCTTCGTTAAGCATTAGGAGCCGTGGAGTCTCCTTGAGGGCAAACCTCGGGGGGCCGGGCGCCCCCCCCCCATTTTGGCACACGGGGGGGGGGAATTCCCCGTATTTATTTTATTTTATTTATTTATTTTGCAACTTCCAAATAAATTTGAAGCTCTTGGGAATGACTTGATTCGTGGCAGGAAGAGAGGTTTTTTTAAAAAAAAACGGGGAGGAAGGAGAAGCAGCGAGGGAAATCCACTCTGTTCAGGCTGCCTGGAGTGAGAGGAAGAGAAAAGAGAAGTCGATGGACTTAATGCGTGGGCAGATTTGAAAAATGCGGCGTGCCGGATTTTCCCCCTGATCCTGGCCCCCAGAGAGGGGGAGCCAGAAGGGGGGGGGGAGATTGCCTGAAGCATTCCTGCTTTCGGAGGCACTAGCAGCCCTCCCCAGCCGGAAAAGCATCTTGTTTGCAGTACACCAAAGAACCCCCTTCCTCGACCCCAGCACTCACAGATCTCTGTTTCATACTGTTTGGAAAGCTAGAGCCAAGTTTCCGTTTAAAGCTGTGACAGAGATGCTGCTGAGGGGGTTTCAAAAGGAAGAATGTTGGCAAGGGCTTTCTCACTCATGGTGGCGGAGAAAGATACAAACTAACTTTCCTAGCGGTGGTGCTGGTGGCTTTTACTGGTGTAGCCACCTTTTTTTGGTAAGGCTCCTGGACCTTCACAGCAGCTTCCACAAAAGCAGGAATTTCAAAACTGCTGGTTTTCCCCCCCCCTGTCTGGAGATGCAGAGGCAGAGAGGCTTATACTTGGGTCATTCCTGTAACAACACAATAATGGAAGCTGAGGAGCATAAAGACCGGGAAGCTGCCATTTAGAGTAGGCACGGGCGTCTTGTCACACCCAACGCAATCCACCTTCCCCTGTCATTTTCATTCAGCAGCTCTGGAGGGAAAGTCTGTTGCAGGACAAAAGGATGTGAGAACGCAGAAGCTGTCATGCTGGGCCAGACTGAAGGCCTGTCTTGGTCCAGGATGGTTAGCGAACAGCTTCCAAAGGCAAATAAACAAGACATTAGTGCAATAGCACTTTTCTCCTCATGCATCCAAGCAACCGATGTACAGAATATACCGGCCTAAATCCAGCTGGAGGACCTGGAGCTGGCTGGATAGTTCAGTGAGTTAGGTATCTGGATGTGGAGCCGGAGGTTAAGAGTTCAATTCTCCACTGTGCATCCCAGAAGAGCCAGCCTGTGAGGACTTGGGCAAGCTGCACAGTCCCAGGATGTCCCTAGGAAAAGGGAGCAGTAAATTATTTCTGAGTACTCTCTACCTAACAAGCCCTGAAAAGGGTTGCCATAAATTAGAATTGACTTGATGGCACACACATGCACACATGCACAGACACACAGACACAGACACACACACACACAGAGGACCTGCAGAAGCGACTGTAGCTAAAGTGACAAGGTGTTTGGGACAGAGTTAGTCAGGCGGTATGTGACATTACCTCAATTTGCCATTGCAACTTGGATGATGTAAATGTCCAAAAGGATTCTCACCACTGATTCATTGGAGTGTTGTGCTACATTCATTCTCTCACTCCTTTTTGAAGATGCTGAAGCTGGTGGCCATTGTAAAGTATAGTGGTGAAATGGTTAGCTGCTTGATTGATTTAATGGTTTTTAAAATTGCCTTCCAAAATACATAATTCTCAGAGTATGGTTCACAATATTTATTTATTTATTTATTTATTTATTTATT